GCGCCGCCGCGCTTCCCAAGCGGCGCACTATCCAGTGCGCCACCGGGCCGGCCCAATTTCAGATAATTTTAGCCATTACCGAGAGCTTGAAGAAAATAAAACAGCATAATACCGTAATAAATGATTCGACAATAATACAACATAGCATAATATATGATCGGAAGGCATTCTCCTTTCAATCTACTTTAGATAGGTAGTCTCATGAGGCTCTTTGAGGGGTGAAATATGAGCTAAGACATGAAAGACAAGGAGTTCATAATGAAGATGAAAAGGAAGAGCAGTCCATGCATAGAAAACTTAAGTTTAAAGACTCTAAGGCAGGATTGAGTAGTTTGGAGAACAGAGAGACAAGCCCAGGGAGGCAGGAACATATTAAAGTGAACTATAAGAGATGAGCTTAACAGAGGTAGGTAAGGTGAAATTATGGGGCCTTGGAAACAGTGTTAAGAACCTTTTATTCTAAGTATGATAGAAACCCATGGGAAATTTTGAAATGAAGGAATGACATAATCTTATGTACAGTTTAAAAAGATTTGTCTGGATGCTATATGAACAGGGATTGTAGGAGAGTAGAGATGGAAGCAGGTAGACCAGTTGTGAGGCTTTTACAATGGTCCAGGTAAGAAATGATATACTAATGTCTTAGATTAGTGTGCACCAACAGGTACATTTTGATAGTTGAATCAAGGCATTCTAATAGTTTAGAAGTGGATAATGAAAGTAAGCAAATGCTGGCTCCTCATTTTCTGGCTTGTGCATCTGGGTGATTGAGGTATGACTTAATGAAATTGGGAAGATTGAGGTAGGAGAAGGGAATCAAGGTTTTTGTTTTTGACTTAGTAAACTCAAGACTACTCTTATAACAGGGTACATCAAAAAGTTTGTGGAAAAATGTGATTAGAAGATAATATGAATCTTTCCATGAACTTTTTGAAGACCCTCCAGTGTTGCTTTTTGTTTTGTTAATTTAAGAGATTTAAATAAAAGAATTGAATTTATATTTCTAAGAATGCATTCAGCTCTTTGGATGATGGTCAAAAAATGCATCATTTATTAGTTTACTGAGTATCTAAGTGTATTGCTAAATTTTGTTTAATTGATTTGCTTATAGGCCGAAAGCATTCTTGAAGGAGATCATGGCTCACCTGCTGGAGAGATTGATGAAGACAAAGTGTGTGCTATTTAATTTTTACCTAAGAATAATGCTTTTGAAACAAAATATTAC